CAGATAAACAAAAACGGAGAAATAACCAGGACGAATGTCAAAATTCAGCAGCAGGCTAGCCGCCAAGTGACGCAACTTCTCTTACATAGTAACCATGAAAATGTCACTAAATGTGCTAGTGGTTTGTAGGAAATACAATACGATGAAAACAACGGCTGCTCAAAGCGAATCTATACGTCTAATCAACAAACAAGTAATTAACGGTGCTCACTGTGACTGTTGGTGCGATTTCGTGACGTAATCAGATCGTTAAAATTATGAATTGACATTGATTTACAGTTTGATACGTGAGCTCATAACGGAAATGTTTTTTTTGTTAGCCTCTTTCAGCACTTAACGAAAGACAGGTCCGACTGAGATGGCAGTATTGCACTGTGAGGCCTCGTGACATTTTAGCTTTCTAGCATGCATGATTCCCGGAAGGGAAGAGTGCATTCGTGAAATTTCAGCTTTCTAGCATGCACTATTATCGGAAGAGAAGAATGCTAACAATTTTACAGCCTGAAGTTTGCCGAGTCCTCAGCGAAATGTGTACATTTGTGAAACCTAACATTACGATGTGCCAACCGAATGCATTCAAAAGAAAATCAAAAAAATTCCAAGACTGTGTGTACATTCTGTGCGGGGATACCATGTTAGTGATGTTAATGCGGTTGCCCCAAACACCAGATGCAGCTATGCAATTGAACGAAAAGAGCAAAAAACAGAAGTACACACTCGGCGTCGTCCTCTCTTTCGAGTTTTGAAATATCGCCAACGTTTGTATTGAGCTTTCAGAGCGTCAAGTCCTCGTTTCCAGTACATCCCTTCCATCACTGCGCCCTGACAATTGCTCATAAAACAAAACTGTTGAGAAGCAAATAACAAAAATCAAAGCATACATATCAAAACAGAACTTGAAACCCGTGTTACTGTCTTCTGCCGAAAGTAATTACTGCTGAGTGAACAAGGTTTTAAAACTCAACGCAATGAAGACAGACCTCAAACCTCGCATGTGTGGCATCATCATCGGGAACGGAAAAATAGCAATATGGCGTTCGCTTCGACTTGTCCTTATCCGGACGACGAACTAGAACAAAACCAATAATCATTAAGATTTTCTAAGACCAAAGCCAATCATTAATCACTCAAAACACAGCAATGTTGGAAATATCTTATGATCAAGCCATTATTGCTCAGAATGACAGCATAACAACCATGTTCTTCCTACCGCCCAGTATTTGGAAAAGTGCTTTATTGAAAATAGTAACTTTTGTAAACTACCGTCAACTTTTACGGGGTCGAAATGGGCAATTTTTTTAAAATTAATGAAAGCCTTTACTTTGTGCGTCAAGTTTTTGTGTTTATAAATTTTTAAAATCAAAAATACCGAGATCTCTCGGGCAATCGGTGTGGGTATCTCATTTTAATGATGTGACCAGGAAGCACTGATACGCCAAGCGAAGCTTAATGTCTAATGTCAGGAATACCAAGACTGCCCGTTTTGGGCATCCTTTGTTAAAATTGTGACTAAGAAGTCTCCACATGCCAAGCATACGTATATCTCTTGATTTTTAAGACGGTATGAAAAAACGACAGGAAATACCTACATTCCATATAATAGGCTCGCCATATCACATTATTCAATCGTATTCGTTGCTTCCAGTGCAATCGTAAACCCTTGAAATCTTTCCATTTCGGCGTTGTCATTTTGCTGCAATAAAAAATAAAACTAATAATATATAAATGAGCAAAAAGTTACATCGTTACGCATTCAAAACACGCATATTTATTGACCGTAGAGATGGTCAATTTCGATAATAATAATAAAAACGCGACGCCTAGAAAATCAAGAGCACAATAGCTAATAAAGAGACAAAATAGCCAATAATGGGTGAGATTGAAAACTTCAAAATGATGAAATCACAAATCCTCCTAAAAGATTGACACCTCATATTAGAATTATTGGACACAGCGGGCGCTTCATGGTACTCTGACAAACAGGTCATCGGATTAGTGCTGCCTGATTATCTATGTTAAGATACATGGATATGGAGTGATTAGAGTCAGCTACATCGACGCTAAGAGGAAACACAACGATGAAGCAGCAGCAGCAGCAGCTGTCCAATGAGCATTGAAACTCTCTAAGTTCGGTTAAAATTTATTATTCAGAATGAGGAAGCAATGTCCTCAATGTATGCCTCTATCTGAAGTCCAATCAA